CCCCCCACCATGCGAGGCAACGCCAGCTGGTTATCGATAGCGTTCGATGATGCCATTAGGCAGGCATGGCGTTGACTGCATCGGTATTCGACCAGGCCAAGTCCAGGGGATGCGACTTCCCCTCCTGTTAGCAACATGTCAGACTGTCAGACTGTCAGACTGTCAGAGGGGCCAAGACAGAGGGAGAGCACGAACGAGGCAGCTGCAGCGCCTAACAGTAAGCTCTCACGGTGCATAACGCCTCGGGGAAAGTACCTCGGATTCGATAAGCATCACCTCAGGTACAACAACCATCAGAACAGTGCACACTTTACTGCATTAACATTTCCATGCTTCCTTTGCCTTCCTGCCCGCATTTCCTCTCTCCGTCGACCTCATTCTGGTCTCTTCAACTTACCTGTGCATCCCGCATACTTCACTTGCCGCACCCGTGTCCATCTTTCCGAGGGACCCTTGCACAGTCCGACCAAAGAGACATGGCTGCGACGTGAATCACCTTATCTCTCCCGCCTGTCCGTCTCCAGCCCAGCCCAGCCAGCCCAACCAGAGGCACCGCGTGACATCAAAAGGCGGGCTTCTCACTTTACCTGGCAGAGCTCAGACAAGCTTCTAATCGCTCGTCCCGTGCTTCCCCGCCCTACCTACAGGCTCGGGCACCTCTCCATCTCGCATCAGCAGGTCAGGTGTGCTGCCCCTCTTGTACCATATCCGCCCCCTCCGCCCTGCTGGCTGGCTCTGAGCTGGGCACAAGGCGTCAACATTGTCCTGGTTGGCGTTGCACCGAGCTGTGCTGCGCGGCCTTAGATCGAGGGGTACCTCACCTTCCCGTCGCCTCGGCGTCAGGCAGGCAATAGGCAACACGCTTCACTTGAACGTCCGCACCACTTACGCAACACCCTGTGAACACGAACCGCTGCCAACGCCCCTCCACCGACACCACTCGCTCCATCGACACTCTGCACCTTGAGGGACCAGAACCTTGACGTGACCACCGCCTCCTCTCAACCTTCCGACACATAGTCAGTCGTGTTCCGTCCTCTTCGCCTCAACCTCTGCCTTTCTTCTTCTATTCCCTCCCATACAACAACCTACGAGCCAAGCAACCTGCAACCCCTCTCCGACCCTGCCCCTCCGCCCCGAAACCGCTGCCTGTAAGCATACCTCAAGCCAGGCTGTTCTGTCACCACCGCGACCCCACCATCGACCACCTTTCTCTCACCCTCTCCCTCCCTCCCAGCTTCACTTTGTACCGCCTTGACTTCTCCCCCTCTTTTCATCTTTCTTTCTCTGACAAGTCTTGAGGGACTCTACTGTGGCGCTCCCCCCGGCGACCTTGTCACGTCTGCCATTTCCGTCAATAGCCACCATCAAACGCCCTCTTCTGTTTGAGGGATGACGTGACGGCCGCGAGGGCTGACCCTTGACACCTCGTTATGGAAGAGCAGAAAGTCGACGCCTTTGTCCAGTCGATCGAGCCGAAAGCTGAAAGCCAAGCCCACGTATCTAACGCCCCGCCGCACCTCCAGAGCCGTCTTACCACGTTGTCGTCATCCGAGCCATCACTGCGTTTCCCGAGACCTCAAGTAAACCGACAGCTCGCGAGCTGGGTATTCTCCAGCCATCCCGACATCATGACGCCCACCGAAATGAGCACCAAGGCCAACGAGGCCGAGGACACCATCTTGGGCGAATCCGCTTATGAGTTTATCAACACCGACGACGAGAGCCATGACGGCCCGGACGGCCCTGCCGAGTCTCTCGACTCGTATGAATACACACAGACCGATGACGTTCACAGTTTGGCTGGCACGGAACAGTCGAGCGAGGGCCTCGATACCGACTCGGAAAGCGATGGCGAGGAGCAAGAGCAAGACGAGGAACGACACCAACACGATGAGGAGGCGGAGAAAAAATCACACGCATATGTGGAGGAGAGTCTCAGCAGCCCCTCATCTTCCTGCGATATGACTGCCGACGACGAGTTTCGCCGCTATCCCAACATCGGGAGGCAGATCAACTTTGCAGAGACCGACGCCGGTGCCGATGAAGTCGCCAACATCGAGGTCATGCACACCATTCGGGAGTTGACCATCGGCGAGGCCGCCACTGTCGCCAAGAACATGCACCTCCCCAAGATCCCCGAGCGCCTAACACTCAGCATCCGACAGACCATGGATCACGACTGCTTGGCCATGTCAGCACAAAGGCCCCTTCATGTGCTGTATGTCGGCAACACGAGCCCGCGCCACCGCATTTTGCGTCGCATCTCCACTGCCCTCAACGCGCACAGCCCAGGCCTCATCCGTCCCGTCGGCGGCGGCGAAGGCATCTATAACGTAGTGCCCAACACAATGCCTGGCAACCTCTCGACGCCCTATGAGGAGTTTGTGAAAATGTTCCCCACAAACATAAAGGCTCAAACGTGCACGCATGCAGAAGAGACGGTCTACGTCTCCGACTCGCTACCCGGCGAGACTATTTTCACCATGGCCCTTGAGGATGGCACGACGTACAATTCGGCCCACCCCGCCAACAGCGGCCCCATCGTTGAGCCCACGTACGACCTGCCCCACATCGCCGTCTTCTACATCACGGATCAGGCTGGTGAGGCTACCCTCCGAACGCGCGATGCCGCTTGGGGGTTCATGAACCGCCATGGTGTCCCGTGCATCTTCATCTCCAGCGCACCGGGCTTCGACGAGTCCGCCGTCAGCTGGTCGAAGTATGTTGACCCGGCGGCTATACATCTCCGTCTCGAGTCTTCGAACTCTGCCAATCCAGCGATGCGAATGCCGATCGATCTGGCTTCATTCCTCACCATCGATCCGCGTCAGATGAATCGAAATCTCGCCCACCTCACTGGCCTAGCGGAACGGTCCAAAATCCAAAAGGGCCTCTACAGCCGTGTGGTGATGACCGGCAAGAAGGTGATCAAGGCTTCGATCACCGCCGATTCGCAGGCCGCGAGTATCCTGCAGAAAATCCTAAGCGCCATCTTCGTGCTTGGTCTGGTGTATGGTCTCGACAGCTATCTCTACGGGAACCATTCAGATAGCCCCGCGCCGTACATGAGCTTGCCCAAAACCACGATTCCCGATTTCACGACCTTGGTTCCTGATTCTACATCTGAAACCACGAGCGTCATCAATCTCACGTCGTCAAGCACAGCTGTTGACATTCCACGCATTGTCGCTACACCCGGGAATGTTGCTCTGATGCCATTTTCCAACCTTTTCCCCGACATACTTCCCGACGCTGGTAAGGGGAATATTGTCTGCACAGCCGAACTTTATGGCCAGCACGAGATCCTGATTAAAATACCCGTCGGCACAAAGACTACCTGGCTCAACAAGGATTCCATTACGATTGACGTCCTTCGTGATGGCCAGATAGTCAAGACCAAGTTTTCTTCCGTCGACGAAGGTCTTGTGCTCGATATTCCCAAGCGCGATGCCTATGGTGTTGTAGCGGTCACCGTCGTCACAAACCGCAGGCCGAAGATCAACGAGACACTCGAGGTGGATTTTGGTAGGGGAATCCTCACAGAAGCACTCCACGGCGGCAGGCGTTTGCTGTTTGACCTAGCCAGCACAGCCTCGGAGGCAACGAGCAGCCTGAGAGAGCAGGCCCTCGTCAAGGCTCAGGAAGTCTCGGACTATGGAACAGGGGCCTCGGACAGCCTCAAGTATACCGTTGTCCAAAAGTGGCACGAGATTGAGTCCGACTTGACGGAACGGCTGCACAGGACGGCAGACTTTTCCGACAAGCTTGATCTTTCTGTTGTCACTGCTCAGATTCAGTCGCGCCTTTGGTGGCTCCGCATTCAAGGCAAGATGGAAGAGCACGCCGAGTACGAGAAGAAGGCGAGGGTATTCCTCGCCAAAAGGCGTGACGAGATCCAGAAGGCTGGTCAGTCACGCCGTAAGACACATCGCGATGTATCCGCGTGCCAACCAGGCGGCTCCCGGTGGTCGAAAAAGTGCGGTGACTGACACGACTTTCGATGAGGGTCGACATGATTACACGAATTAGGGCCGCTGGGCGAAATAGCTGATTAGGATTTTCGACATGGCGTTTACGTGTTTCGGTTTTGCAATATGGGAGGTTTTACTGTCACTCCATACATACCACTTTACTGTTTGTCGAAAGGCCCATCTCGAGCCGCCTTTCTCTTCTCTCATACCCACCCCTCCTCTGTCGATGCAGGGGACCCAGAGCTTGAAAGTGGACTCTGAAGGCAAGATTACGGATGCCTGCCCTGGCGTACCCATGGAAAGGAACTCATTCACGGCTGGCGTCTTTCCTCGAGTTTTGCCTAGCTTCTGGGCCGCGAGACTAAAGTATGGGTTCGTTGGCAGTTAATAAAGCAATGAAATGTGATCCGTTGGTTGAATCGCGTGATTGCCAGTGACCACCTACTAACAAGACTCACTAAGGGGGATCGGGGTGGCAAACTGGAGGGCAGGGCAGGTCCATCGGCGACCCCACGATAGCTGCTGTTAGTAGGGAAAACAAGTCGCGGCCCCGCGTGGTGAGAGCGTGGGTAGGTAGGTACCTTGCTCGAAAGGTGTGTCACTCGAACCCGGGTCGGTGTAATTGGGACAGTGCGCTGGACGCAAGGCCCCACTTAATCGCAGGTTGTGAATGAGGGGCTCGATCGCTGCCTCATTTTGGCTCGCCCACTTCGACCTGACATCCATTTGAAAAACATTGCAGCGATTACCTCCATCACGTTTGCGGAAGCTATCTGAGACCCTTACGAATCACCTTTATCACAGTAAGTTTCGATTGCACAGATACTACCCATGCTGCAAGCTCCTCCTTATTTACGTCGATACACGTTCTGCCCCCCCCACCATCAGACATTTTGGGGTGAAAAGGAGGGGCACTGCGCCTAAATCTGGCGGTGATGGCTACCGAGTCTGGAGACTGACGTTCGTTCGCGCCGCAGGACCACAAACTCTCCGAACGTACAACCCCCCCCTCCCCGACCGAACATCATGTCTGCGCCCGAAGCAACCGAGCCCAAGGTCGAGGAGCCTAAGATCGAGGCGCCCAAGGCCGAGGAGACCCCCGCCACTGGCACCGCCGATGCGCCCGCCACCGAGTCCACCGGCGAGGCCGACAAGCCCGTGACGGCCCAGTCTTCCGTCTTCAGCATGTTTGGAGGAGGCGCTAAGAAGGAGAAGAAACCCGAGGACGAGGACCGCGGCGACAACTCTGGCAGCAACAAGGCTCAGCGCGAGGCCGCTGCCGCCGCCGCTGATGACGAACAGGCCCCCGAGTCGGAGGATGTCCACTTTGAGCCCGTCCACAAGCTGACGGAGAAGGTCGAGACGGCCACCAACGAGGAGTCTGAGCAACAGCTCTTCAAGATGCGCGCCAAGCTGTTCAAGTTCATCAAGGAGTCCAGCGAGTGGAAGGAGCGCGGCACTGGCGACGTCCGTCTGCTGAAGCACAAGGAGAATGGCAAGACCCGTCTCGTCATGCGCCGCGACAAGACCCTCAAGGTCTGCGCCAACCACTACAGTGCGTCGAGTCGAGCTCCCACCTCGCTGTGTTGCTTATGCTAACGATACGATAGTCGTCCCCGAGATGAAGCTCTCCCCCAACGTCGGCTCTGACCGCAGCTGGGTCTGGAACGCTGCCGCCGATGTCAGCGAGGGCGAGCCCGAGGCCGCTACTCTTGCCATCCGCTTTGCCAACTCCGAGAGTATGTTGACGTGCTCTTCTCTTACCTTGGAAGCAACTTACTAATCGTCACAGACGCCAACCTCTTCAAGGACGCCTTCCTCCAGGCGCAGAAGGACAACGAGGCGCTCTTCAAGAAGGCCGAGGATGGCGAGGCCTCCACCGAGACCCCCGCCGCAGAACAGTCGTAAACCCTCGTACTCTTCTCAGATGGTCCATGAAGGACGAGGCCCCTGAATCACAGAATCAACATTCCCCTGACACCCTCCCATCACACACACACACACACACACACACACATCACACGTACCGTTGCGAGTCGACACAATCGCTGAGGCTTTTACCCTGACCATCGATGATGCCGAAATGACTCCCATGGGGTGCCAATGAGCTCTGCGAGATGCGCACACAACTGATCATGGTGAGGCTCTCTGGCTGTCGTGGGGCAGAACCCTGTCCTACCAGCCGGACCTGCCGCCCACCAGGCAGTGTAGATAGATTCCCCACCCCCCCAATGACACCATTCCCCATGAACATTGAATCAATAAAAAGAAGACAAGAAAGCCAGTGCGCACGCTGAGGTGCAAGTATTGTGAAATTGATGCGTTGACTTGTATTTCTGGCGTAAAAAATGGTGAGGGGTGTGTGGCGGTTGGTATGTCATGGGGGGTGTGGCGATAGTGGCGCAGTTTTGGCTTCAGCCTTCCCTCCTCCAACGTCACCACGCAACCTGTCCGGCCAACTTCTCCCTCTCGACGACACGATTATCCCACCGCATCACCCACGCCCTCCATATCACGAAAGCGAATACGATCTACGACGCCACGACGAGACAAGACTTTGTGGCTAGACCACCCAATAACCCTACACAAGAACGCGCTTTCCGAGGGAAGGTCACAACGCGGCCAACATGATTGTAGAGGTAAGCGCCCATCGCGCCGCGACAGCGGCCGAACTTTCCACGGTGTTCTTACCTCCTGCCGCTGCATGCGATACACTCTACAAACCAAGACGAAACCGTGGACAGTGAAGCACAGCCGTGTCGGCCCAATTGAGATGGATCGATATCCTTCTGCAAAGCGCCATCGCACAGGGCGGGAGCTTATCCTTGGAGCCGCTTCACTGGAGCGAACACGCCCAGGAGACTGTTATCCTTAACCATGTCCTCTCAGTCCATTGAACCTCACTCTCTGCGTTCCCGTTCCCTCCGAGTCCCAGTCGCCCCATCCCACACCGGCGCGCGCGACGCGCAAAGCCACCCGCTTCATGGTTGAGCCCGAGAGTGCTAAGTCTTGTCGTGTCGCAGCGCAAAATCCGCCTCGTGACGGACCAAAATGTCATGTAAGTCTCCTCATCGAGATAGAGTGCTGCCAGGGAACACAACTGACGCGACCACGACAGGCCCGACAAACCGGCGCAGGTCGAGGGCTTTCCCATGAGGAAATGGTCCGTCTCCATCTTCGTCTTGGACGAGGCAGGCGAGGAACACACGGCCGATTGCTTCCAGAAGGTCGTGTATAACCTTCACCCTTCCTTTGAGAACCCAACGCAAAGTATGTCTAATTGTGGCGACTTCCGGCATACCATATTGTGCTAATCGGCAACAAGCCTTCCCCAAACCCCCCTTCACCTGCGAAAACGAAGGCTGGGGAGAATTTGAAATGGTCATTGATTGCTATACGACGGAGAAGTCCAAGCAGTCCATCCCACACGACCTCAACTTCCAATCCAACCACTACGTCTCCGAGCACACAGTCTCTTTCAAGAATCCAAGCCAGGCGCTTCAGCAGATTCTCCGCGAGACAGGACCTCTACCCAACGACGAGGACCGCGCCAAGCGCAAGGGCGCCGCTGGTGCCGCCGGCCCCAAGAAGGCCAGCCAAAAGTACGACTACGAGAAGATTGCCGATGGCCTCGGACGCCTCGAGGAGGATGACCTGCTGCGCGTGATCCAGATCATTAACGATAACCGGACCGAGGGCATGTTCATCAAGAGTGACGTGGACGGTGAGTGGCCTGGTCTCTCGTGCCTCACAGGCAGCGCTGACGAATTCCAGCCGGCGAGTTCTCGATCGACCTGTATTCCATGCCCGAGACGCTTACGAAGCTTCTCTGGGACCACCTGGTTCGTCTGCCTAGCACGGCCGTCTCGCGTGCATGCTTCAATCCCGCTAACCATTGATTAAAGAACAAGAAGGGTCTCATCAGTTAGTCGGAGGATCGCATCCGTACAGGAGGAGGGAGTCTACGTTGTTCGCGAGCCAAGGCGTCTGGATCATGAGGGCGGGGCGGGGGTATCTCATTCATAATGATGGTCATTCTCCGGGCACTGGCACAGTGGGAGGGGAGAAACGATCGCGCCCGGCTTCGACAGGACACGCCAGCGCGCCCTGTGGCAGAGCTTGTTGTAGAGAGCACGTCGGAAAATCGAAAGGATATCGTTTCTCAAAATGGCGTCACGTGGGGGCAGCAGCCGTTCAGGCGGGAACATGACGGAGCAGATTGCGAATCCGAACATTGGAACCATCCTGATTGATGCCTTCATCTAACTGTTCATTTCCCTGGCGCTAGTGGCCGACCTGTCCCGGTCCATCCTCGCTTTTCATAACCGTGAGAGCTTTTACGAAATCATGCCCAACGCCACCCCAAGTCCTGTAGTACGCTACGCCACGCCACGCCGGAAAGAAGGCCTCGACGAAATACACGTGATACCCATCTGCTCATGCACCATAGTTTGCCCCGTCCATGACTGGGAATTGCGGATCCATGGCCATATACTCCAGCAGGTCGACCCCGCCAACGTTCAACCCCTCGGACGTCATGGCCACGCCGTTCTCCATGTTCTGGAAGAAGGCCGCACCTGGCGGCAGGTACCACATCTCATTGCCCGGGTTCCCCCATTCGGACGAATCAAACATGTCCACCGTTGGGTGATCGATGGGGGGTGCCGGTGTCGAGGGGTTGAGACCCGAGGCTGAACCCGAAGGGTATGGAAAGTTCCCGGCGCTAACGTCAAAGGGCGTCGCCGAGATATTGGCCGCGATGTCATCTGCAAGAAGCGGTCAGCAACAAGCGACAGCCTCCCGGCAAAGGGAAAAAAACATACCTGGTGCACTGAGTCCATCACGGAGCCTGTTGGCGTGGGAAGACCAGTTCTGGCCCTCGCCGTTGGCCCCATGCCCGTGAACGCCATGAGCGGTGGGTTCCGGGCTGCGGCCGTCGCCCCCGGAGTGCCCGAGAGTAGGAGCCTGGATGAATCGGGTGCGCAGCCTGCTGGTGAGAGACTCGAGCAGATCCGCAAAACGTATGCCGAGATGAACATCGTCGACGACGCAATTTCGTAGTGCCTCGACCGTCGAGTCCATCAAATCAATACTCATCTTGACGTCGGAACGCGGGGCGCCCAGCGCAAACGTCTTTAGCAAAAACATGGCTCCGCTGATGATGCGGAAATACGTCCGAACGGGCGCATGCTTCAGGTAGTCACCCGGCAGCAGGCCCTCGACCACAGTCCTCAGGAGGTTGCGACACCCACTGATGACTTCCCTGATGCACTCTTGGTCGGTTGCACCAAAGCCGCCAAGCTGACCGAGAGGCAGCTTTCCAAAATAGTTTTGCGTCTGGGGCGACAGCTGAGCTGCGCCAGCAAAGGACCCGCCTTGGGCCGCGTGCACAGTGTTTCCTGCATGGCTCGCCGATCGCTCAACGACAGCTTGCAGCGACAATGAGTTGACGTAGATACGCACATATTCGTACTCGATCGTCAGGACGTGGCGGATGAAGGGCGGCAAGCGGAAGCGCTCAAACTCCTTGTACCAGTCCGCCAACAGAGGCCTGAACTCCTGCAGAAGCTCCGTATACTTGCCACTCTGAATAATGTCGGTTGTGTGCCTCCGGTTGCGAAAAAGCTTTTCGTTGCCAAGAAACATGAGATTGCTGATGCCAGCCCAGCAGTGAATCATCTGGTCGTCGAGCTCCAGGTCCGGAATGTAGTTGAACGCGTTGGAGAAAGACGACGGGTTTGTGCCGGGCGTCGTGCCACCCTCGACAGAGCCGCCAGGCCGCTTGCGGGAGACGGCTGGGTCGCTCTTGCGCAACGCCTCGGGCACCATGTTTGTCCAGCCAAGTCGACCGGCAAGCTGGGAGAGGTAGATGAGCAGCAGCCTCTTGATACGGTTCGCACGCTGACGGTACGATTCCTCCTCGTACTCGGGACGCGAAATGGCCCCACTGCGTAACATTTCCTCGATATCGTCAAAGACACCCAGCTCGTAGGCGAGGCCGTTGGCCGTGCTGAGCAGCATCCAGCACATACGGTCACTTCTCCACGCCGGCTCGAGCCAACTCTCGATGCGCCGGCCGCCAATGCCGGCAGAGGGGCGTTGATTACCGTTCTCATCTGTGCTGATGAGGTCGCCGCCTTCGTAGGACGGCAGCATCAGTTCGTCGATAGCCTCGTCCGGGGGGAAGTGCAGAGCACGAGGATGCCACTCTGTCAGGATCATGAGTGATTCGATGGTTCCCAGGGTGCGCAGGCTGCCTTTTCTCATGCCACGCCAAGGCGCCGTGCTGCTGGTTTGGTCCTCTCCCCCAATGGCAGCAGCAACGCCGGGGGCACTGGCGCCGGTGGTCATGCTCACAAATCCACCACCAAAGGCCTCCTGGCCCCACAGACAGCGCTCAATCATGCCGCGCAGGTAGTTCCATAGCTGCTCGTGGATGGCGTGCGAACGGCAGTGGCCTCCGGTGCCAGGGATCTTTCGGTAGCGTGACGAGATGGTCAGCAGCGTGACTGTAAGGATGGGCTCTTCGGTGAGAAGAGTCAAGTGGGAGGCAGGGTTGCGAAAGGTGGGTGGGGATATGGGCGTCAGCGGCGACAAGTACTCGTAGTAGTAGTCGATGTATTCAATGGCCTCTTGTGCGGTGAACCAGCCAGCTCTAACAAACCTGAACCTCTGCCAGGCCTTGACGGCGCTGGCATAACCAGGTTCGGCGGAAAGATCGCGAGGCCGCGCGAGATTGGGGTCTATTGGCTGCTGTTCTTGCTTGACGGAGAATGTCAGTCGGCGGCCAGGCGGTGTCGGTCTTCCAACTACATTGGGGTTGACAAGGGGTAGCGGTTGTTGGATGGATGCAAGCGACGCCGTGCTCTCGTGACGTTTGTGGGCCGGCAGTGAGCTGCCCCGATTGTCAGTAGACGCACAAGCACGCACAAGAGGCGTCCCGTGTCGGGGAGGTGCGGTACTTACTTGTCTGTAGCCGCTTTATAGAGCAGGTCTAGAGCATCATGCGGGCCATAAACACCGGTGCGCAGCACGTCCTGGGCCTCTCTATTCTCCATATGGGCATTCGACTCCTCCTCCGCGGCATATTCGCCGACGCGCCTGCTGCCAGACTGACTGACAGTCGTGCTGGGAGTCGCAGCGAGGCGGGAACCATCGGGACGCGACAACGGCCTTTCCCTGCCGAGGCTGCCTCCGGGGGTCAGGGGCACATCGTTATAGACGGAGCGGTCAACGGGAACATGCTGGCTATCGTTGGTGTTTAGTCGCTTTCGGCCATTGCGCATAATGTAATCGTCGGCGTCAATGTCGTCGTTGATGTCAATGCCATCCTCGGTCTTGCGCTTGCGTCTCGTGGCGCTGAAAAAACACTCCTTGCTCTCACGGCGACAACGCACACAGGGCGGTTCGTGGGGATTATCGACGCTGCCGAGGTCGCACCGCACCTTGCGCCGGCGGCAGGGGATGCAAGCCTGATAGACGCGCTTATGTTGGGCAGCCTGGGTGCTGCCAGGCGCGGCTGCTCCGCTGGCTGCGCTGGCACCGGCGGCGGCGGCGGTAGAGGAGCTCCCGCCGGGCAGCGACGGGCCGGATGAGGAGGCCGGGCTCGTCGCATTGGGTGCCTGGGCGCCATAGGTGGCCATGATGACGGCGGGTACCGGTCAATCAATGGGGCCGGCGACAAGCAAGGGCGACCAGAAGAGACAGGGCGTACGAGGCTCCGGATTCGTGGGAAGGAGTCGGAATGGCTGCAGTAATGGTAGGGTCGAGTCGAGTCGCGAGTCGCGAGAGTCGGGGGGGATCGGTTTGCAGCGGGTTTAAGGAGGGGTTGGGTCGGTCTGGGGCGGGAGACGATGGGCTTTTTGTTGTAGCGAAGGGCCCCAGAGAGCGTGACCCGAGCGCCGGGCAGTGGTTTTTGTCGGTCTGATGCGGGGTCGCAGTGTTCCTGTCGTACGGTCGCGTGTGATTCGTGTGGTTCGCCCCAATGGCTATGGCGCGTTCCCGTTGTCTTGATGACCGAGGGCCCTTCCCCAATCGAAGGATGCCGTGGTCGTTTAGGAGTCAACCAGCCAGCCGTGTTCTCGCTGAGAGATTGTGGCCCAAGGCAAGGCAAGTCGCTGAGTAGGTAGCAAGAGCTAAAAGGAAAGCAGGGTGTGTGTTTTCTCTTCTCGTGTCGGCCGCTTGCCTCCAATGGCAGTAGCCTTTGCAACCACGGACTGTGGTTCTTGCTCTGCGCCTTCCTTCTCAAAGCCAAGCACGATGCACTTGCATGACACCTGCCGTTACGGGATGCAGTGTTAGGTAATCGGCATTCCACCTTCCAACCAACATCCCCGCGTATCCAATCACGAGGACTACGGGCCCGACGTCTGCTCGACCCCAGGAAGGAGAGGAGGGCTGAGAGCTGGCACGTTCCATTCGTTCCGGACAAGCCTGGTCACGAGGACCCTCATTTCCCCAGGTCAGGTTCGCTGAGCCTCAACAGCAACAGTCAGCTCGCAAGGGCCAAATGTTGATGCAGGAACACCCTCGAGGCCTCGTGACAGGTCACATGACGGCCAGAAAAGCACAATGTTTTGTCTGATCACCTGCAGCAAAATACATGCCTTCCATGTCTTGTTCGTCAGCGGCAGACAGCCCCACTGGTCACTCATATGTCACATTGATGTCTGGCGCCCGGAGCATGTATGCATAAAAACGAACCCTGGGCCGTATTCGTCATCGCGTCATAGGGTGAAAGTTGTACACGCAACGAGCGCAAGCAATCCTTTAAACTCTGTCCTGCCTCTGCACGCAGATCCACCCTCGGCCCAGACACCGCCAGCCCCCTTTATATTCCCCATTGCGTCTTCGCTGGAATAGCAGGATTGCCACACGTGAACCGGTCCTGCTGCCCTGTTGATCACCCGCACCCAAAAATGGGCCAGAA